TGGTGTTCTTGAGCTTCTCATGCACTACAAACATCTTAGAGCCCCCTACCTGTATCTTCCACCCCTTGGTCACAGCCTCAGTCACTCCTTGCTTCTTAGTCCAGATAGGATCAAAATAAAATCTCTTCTTATGCCTCTCTATCTCCACATGAGTGTCAAAGAAGATCACATTATGGTCAGAAGAACTTCTATAGAAATTTGATGCTTCCATTTTAGGGAATTTCAGCATCCATTCATGAGATACAAAGATCTTGTCAAGCCTCTCCTCCACATATCCTTCCTTCACCCTATTATTCCCCCATGTAAAAAAAGCAACCCTCTGATCCACTTCATTGATCTCCATATTCACAATGAACTCCTTGAAGGCAGTAAAGCTTGAACCGGGTCTCTTGATCCCTCCTCTTTTCTCTTCATTACTAATGATAGCATTCCGATTCCCACAAATAGCCCAGCATTGCTTCCACTTGTCTCTGCATTCCTCCAGATAACCCCATTGCTTGCTTCTTACATTTTTGTCACAGCTCAGGTATACAAAGATAACCCAGATCCAATCCATACTCCCATCATGCTTCACCTCTGCTTGGATACAGAAATCATTCCCCCGCAGAGTTCTTACTTCAATGGAGGAGTCCCACATCATCAGCAATCCTCCTTTACAACCCTTAGGCTCCACCAAATGCCATCTATGATCAAAACCCAGCTTTCTACATATTGTTTTGGTAAACTGCTTAGTATTTTTTGTTTTAGATAAAAAAATTAGGTTTGGGTGGAGAGTCTTCTGACATCCTTGATTTGGGAAACTGTAGAGGGCCCACCCAGCCCTCTACAATTCCACACAATGACCTTCGTTGGTCACATTGGGGCCACTTTAGGCTGGCCTTCTCCACCTGTTCATCATCTGATTGAAACTTCCTCCTCTTCTCCTTACTCATCTTACTGCATTCATCCTTGGACTCAGAGTACATCACCAGTTCTCTATTCCTCTTAGAATTAGTTCCCCCCATGGCTTCCTCCCAATACTCAGACATCCTTGATAATCTACCATCAGAGGCAGACCTCCTTTTCCATGTTGCATTTTGAGTTTTTACTAGCCTCCCTCCTTTGACCATAGAGAAATTATTCTCCCCTACATCAACTGGTCTCCCAGTCACTACCTCAATATCCATGGGATTCTCAATTATTTTGGAGAGAATCTCCCCTTCAATTGGCCTCTAATCTACCTCAGGAGCATGTTTTGATGGGTGCTCTTCTCCTCCACTTATCAAAGCTGTACAGCCCTTGACAACACTGTGAGCTTCTTTCCTCTGCTCTGGTCCCTTGATCTGGTTTTGCCGAGATGAAGATGGAGTATCCCCCTCATATCTAGAGGGATTCTGATTAGAGTTGGAGTTTGGTCGATTGGCTTTGAACTCAGAGCTGCTCGCATAGCTACTCCTTCCTCCTGGAAATGTTTCAGTAGCTTTTAGCCATTCTCCAAATTGCCCTTCCTTTACCTGATTTTTGTCAATATCCTCCATTCTCACCCCACAGTTTCTTTCAAGATGGCCTACCTTTCCACAGTAGTAGCAGAGGTTGACCAATCTCTCATATCTAAATGCCACTCGCACCCTTTTATCCCCAAGTTTCACATTAGTACACCTCGGAATTAGCTCTTTTGTATCCACCACTGCAAGGATTTTTAGGAAACTACCCAGCCCACCCCCTGTTTTGTAGACATTCACATTCTTGACGCCATTAAAAATACTCCCAATTTTCATTCCTACCTCAGTACTCATCCAATTAATTGGGACATTTAGAATTTGAACCCATAGTTTAATCTCATCAAAGGCTTCATGATTTGCTGTCAGCCCTTGAAACCACTCTTTCAGCACAGAGTATTGATTTTCATAGTGCCAGTTATAGCCTGCCGCGACTTTCTTCTTATCTTCAAGCGGGCTGAAGATGAATTGAAAGAAGTTTGTACTTAGCTCTTTCACTTCCATCGGTTGTTGTATTTTCCAGATATATGTCATTGCCCGTTTAATTCCTAGGAGACTTGCTATTCTGTCACCAACCACCTTACCAAATAGGCTCCTCCCACACTCCTCCTTGCTGGTTTTTACATCCCGTGGTTGAATTTCTATGTCTCCAGCTTCCTTCGACGATAATGAACAGTCAATCAGCTTCTTAATCACTTCTTCCTTAAGATCGCGTTCTTTACTACTACTTGGCATCTCGTCCCCCATTTACCCTAAAAGGGTGAAAATCTTCTTCTATACTCGCAATACTCTATCAATGGCGAATCAGACTAACAAAAATACAAAAAAAATTGAGAGGTAGGCGGTCGAAATTGAAAAAGTTTTGCTCCCACTTGAGAGAATTAGGGCTCCCACTTGAGAGAATTCCAACTTAGTAAATTACATAAAAATATATTTTATGTTTTTTTTGTAAATTACTTTTATTAAATAATATATTTTAAACCAAAAATATAAAAATGACAGGTAAAAAAAATTAAAATAGCAAATAATATTTTAAATCCAACTATTTTGGTTAATTTGATTATTTAACCGATTAAATAAACTAGTTATTTGTGTTATATATTAAATTTGTTTGAATCAAAAGATCGGTTGATTTGGATTGCACAATAGCGACTGAAAAATTGCACAATATCGTGGATTGCACATTAATACATGGGTTGCACATTATTGTGAATTTTATTTATTATTATTGTGCAAACATTGAAGTTTTATGAAATTACATATTTGCCTCATGTACTAGATTATAATATATTTTTTTATAAAAAATATTAATTTCATGTTTTTTTTATATAGTTAGTTTTTTT